TCATAATTGTTTATCCATATATTTTCTACTTAAGGTATTCCTTCACATTCTAAAGCAGGATATTATCATATTTATTGTTTATACACCATATTATATTAAAACATCAATAATTTATAAAAGCAGAGTTTGTGTTGTACCCCTCTCTGCTGCCGTTGACTCAGCTCCTCTTTGGCTCATTTGCAGTTTGTCTGGAATTGCATCAGCACAAAGGGCCCTCTTGTGTGGCTGAAGCCGCAGCGGGGGCCCACCGTCCGACCCCTGGGATTGTCCAGCCCCTGGGACTGTCTGGCACCTGGGACTGTACGGAACCTGCGACTGTTCGGACCCTGGGACTGTCCAGCCAGAGAATGACCAGAGACTAGAGAGAGACCAGAGAAAGACCACAAAGAGATCAGTGAATTTACTTTTACATGTATGTAAGTCAATAAGAGCCGGGGAGAGATGGAGTCCTTCCCTATTGGGCTACATTGAGCTTGCAAGTTAGCATTGTCCCTCTGTATACAGGCTATGGTGTTGACATGGGAGATAAATGTAAAATTTTGCCGTGTTCTTTGGGCCAGTGCTCTCCTAAATTCCTGCTTCGGTCAAGCAACACAAATGTGTAGGGCCTGACTCGGGTCAAACGCAGTCGTTAAGACGCAGCAGCCCGTAGTGTGAAATAAACAGGCGCCCAAGTTATTGTCACACACGCAATACATACACACATACTGTATACACACACTATCCAACACACATACTGTACATGTACTCACTCACACCTATATATGCACACACACGCACGCACACACACACACACACACACGTACAGTTCTGGTCCCAGTCTCAGAGCAGTGGTCGGTCACCTGCTCCTTCATCATCATTATAATCATCATGAAGAGAAGGAAATGATCTGTCTCCTGCATTATTCACACTCAGCTCTTCATCAGGCCCCAGTCCACACAGTCCAGGTTCAGTGATGAACGAGAGCCAAAAAAGGCCTGTCATTTTTGAAATATAAAATGTTCAAAGTGTATTTGTGTATCATGCTAAATCACAACAGCAGTTATCACAGGACATGCAATGATAAAAAACTCATTGGAGCAATTGGTCCAAAGGAAGCGGGATGACCACTGTCTGGAAATGTTGCAGAAATGTCCGGATCATCACTGTCCTGAGCCCCATGCATCTGCAAGAAACCATTGTGAAACCCAGGACTGAGGCTGTAGATCCAGGACTGAAGAGGCTGGTGGTGCAGATGAAAGAGGCCAGATTCAGACATTATCACACCCTGAAACAGATAATGGGACAGCGGGTGAATAGCAATGAACAGTGTACAGCTGAAGTTACTATGATAGCAGTTAATACAATGACGTGTAGTTTTAATATCGGTTGAATGTTACAATAGTGATTTTGTTACTTATATCATGCTTGATCGAGACATTCAGGAGACAAATGAAGCTTAAGTGCAAATTTATGAGTGGAAGACCTGAGAACCCAGCTGAGTAGGGCGCTCAGTTCTCCTGCCGTTGCCCACAGCAACAGCAATCTGTCAATCACACTCAGCTGCGCAACGCCTCATGCAGATCCTCACCTGCAGCATCAGGCACTGCCCACATCAGCTTCATATCACGCAGAAGCTCCATCCAAGCAGCAGCTTCATTCCCGCCGCAACCCTCCTCCTCCCCATTTCCGCCTTGTTCCAGGCCAGCGCCTTCATCCTTCTCATAGCTTCCACCACCAGGGTCTAGGCCCCGGGGGATTTCATCTCATGATCTCTTTCCCCTTCTGCAATCGTGCATTGCTCTGCTGGGGTCTAAGCGCCAAATCCCAACCACATTCTGTTCAGCACAATAAATGTAATCTTGAAAATATTGTCTTTAGTGTCATATGAGTAATTCATGCAGTGTCAGATTACCTGCCAATCAACATACAATTCTAATACTATGTTTTGCCTGTTAGTCTCTCCAGATTAAATCCACTGTTTGCCTTGCTACTGAAGAAGCCAAATAGAGCTTTCTCCGATAGGCTCCCTGAGCGGAAATCTGGAGCCAAATGTGGGTGTAGCAACAGCCTAGCACTGAAAGAGCTGATCTGAATTGGTGGTGGTGTGTTTACACCCGCACTAGTTTCTGGCTGAAGCCAAACAACTAACCTATCAGGGACAGATTGCACCTGATTGATTGATTGATTGGTTTTTAAGGTTAGGGTCGGTTAGGGTCTCATATTTGGATTTAATTTAAGCAAAAGCTAGCTGGAGCCAGTTTACTTGGATAGGATTTTGTGACAAGGCAGATGCAAGCTTTTCAATTGTTTTGCTAAGAGTAACCCAAAGGCAAGCTGGAATTTCCCAATATGACAATATGACACCAGGATCACGGAGAGTGCCAAACCCCAGTTCTGAGGCCAAAATGGTGAGTCTGACACATACGATGAGTTTACTTACATGTATGTCAATAGGAAAGCGAGTTGGAGCTACACTTCCCCAAGAGCTATTCCCTATTAGACTTCATCGAGTTAAAGGGTTAGCATTGTCCATCTGTATATAGTCTATGCTGAGAACATGCCTGTACCTTCACTCTTCACTTTGACATTAGTCCTTGTATTTCACCACATCGCAGCTAACCCTGCTCTCCATGACAAAGCTGCTCCCAGGCGTCATTGTGCCCTGAGTGAGGGTCTCGCTGCTTCTCCCTTTTGTCTCCCACGTTCCATTTGTCCTGCTGTCCCTCACACACTGCTCTGACCTACATCCTGCTGTGGTTCCATAGCTGCAGAGGTGGAAGTAGGCTGCCCTCCTCCCCAAACCGAGCCATGGGACAGCGCTGGGGGAGGACACGCCCACACAGCCCCCAGAAATGGAACAGCAGCATGCGTAAGAAGAGGATGCTGCAACACATGGCAACACAGTCTGACACAGTTAGAGCCCAGTTCAACTCTGCTTCATCTTTTATACTTCTGACATGCAGCGGAACTGTGTTGGGATGTTTGGTAGTGGGCCACATGCAAAATCAACATCTCTATACTCCACCAACCCTACATGAGCCTACTCTACTCTACTCTACGTTATGCTTCTCTACTCTACACCGCTATATCCTAATTTAAGATACTCTACACTACTCTTCTCTACACTGCTCTGCTCTGCTCTACTCTACACTGATTACTCTTGTAGTGTTGGATTCCTATAAACGTGCAGTGACAAACTAAATTACATAAATTACACATAAGACTTCATTGATTGAATTAAAATTCAGCATAACACCAAAAGCAGTTATTTTGCAATATATGGAAATCAAACATAAGAATAACTATTTTTACTGTTAATAATCAATCTATACCTCTATTCAAATATACTTGTAAAGACATCATGCCATTAACTGCAAATTCATTCATAAATCACTTCATATCTTAGTTATGGTTAAAAGTCGAATAAACAATTAGGTCATGTTTACGCAGAGACACAGCCATGTCCATCCTCCTGTGGACTCACCACCTGCAGGAGGATCAGTGAGGGGCCGGTGCCTTGTGAATTGTCTGGAGCTCTGACTGCCACCCCCCGACCCAGAAATTGATTAAGGGGTTGAAAATGGATGAATGGATCCCCCTCTGGATTTGAAAAGCAAAGTGTCTACGCAACGAGTGAAAACGATTTAGTTCAAACCACCAGAAATCTGGAAAAGAATGCACCAACATAATTCTGCATTTAACAGTAGCAGCAAAAATGTAAACTGTAACTACAGCTTTACATGACTGTGTTTGGACGGGTTTGCTCTCCGTGTCACTGCTGAAGCACACATAGCACAAGTTGATCCGCCGCCATTACTGTTTACGTTTGTTCTCAGCTACTGCGCATGTACACATGTATGAGGGAAGTGGCGAGGTCAACGCAGCCAGTACAGAGGGTTTAAAACCTTTTTGCTCACACGGCCCCCGGCCACACCCCATTTTCTTCCACTCTGGAGGCTGTTTTTAAAAGTTAGTGTTTTCACCTCGCAAAACACTGACGCCATGAGAACGAAAGGCAAATCCACTACTCAACTCTATCGTCCTAATGTCACAGCATCCATGTGTAAACAGCAATTACACTACCTACAACATGCTCCCCATGGAAGTATAATTTTTTTTTTTTTTATTACTTCTTTTATAACCTACAGAGAGCCAAAGCAATTTTCTTGTTTGTGACTTTCTTTTACTCAATGGCAATAATACAAATTCTGACTCTATTTAGTTTCGCCTCTTGGTACTTGGTACTACTCTTTGGTTTAGGCATAATGTGAGATGAATGGATTAGGCAAGGATGTGCAGGTTAGCTTAGCAAATGTTTCACCATATCGTGGCGCTGAAAGCTAAAGTGATAGTTTGCTAAGCAAATGATGAAAGCGTGTCTTCTCAAGAAGCCAATGATGCCAAGCAGGACAATGATGCTGATTCCAGTTTATGGTCAACCAGTAGAGGGTCAACTATTCAAATACTGTCTACATCAGAAGTCAGCAAGACAAACCAGGACTAAACCAGGTCAAAATCAGGACTAAACTAAGAAGTCTGCTCGATTGTCTTCCGCTCTGGCTCTGCTCTGATCAGCAGCTCTTATTGGTAAGGACGCGCCTAACCAATAAGACCCTCTGTGCAGGTTCATGAGAGCCATCACGCAGATTTGGCACAAAGCATCATGGGATCTCGTCCATTGCTCAGAACCAGGAAGACCAGACGATGTCCAAAATATGGGCAAGTTCCGCTAATCTTTCAGCCTCCATGGTGGCACATGCGCTACCGAGCACAAGCCGTTGATTTCGATAGGGTGCCATCTTAGATCGCCGGGGTTTGGTTTGAACATAAATGTGTTATTGTAATCTGATACAATCCAGTAATCAGTTACTTCCCAAAATACTTTTTAGCCACACACTCTAGCTCCAATGGACATAAAGGTAGATATTGATGTGGCATGTCGGTGTGCACCGCACTGAAAGATGATTGGCTTGGGTTGTAGAGCCCATTAAAAGCAGGTGCGTGATCGGCGCGCGCACATGAGTCTTGGCTTGGGTGTGGTGGTCGCACGTTTGGTGACCGGCAGCTTGATTTGGTCGGAGCCCGCTGGACCGTGTGGGAGAAACGTTTTGGCTTTTGCAGCAAGTTTGGGTGCTCCACAATTGAGGTAAGTCGGTCATTGTCCAGCTTTTCATTCTTGGCGCTCAAAGCCAAAGCTGAGCATAAACCTGTTTGCCCCAGACCCTGAGCTGCAGCTGGGACAAGTCTGGTCCATACCGGCTCTCCCCCTCCTCCCACTGGCCGTGAGTGCGTGGCTTTCACTGGCAGGTAAGCTCAAAAACTATAGTCTAGTTATTAATTACAATGTTAAGATTTGTGCCTGTCCTTCAGGCTCCATACCAGGGCTGCCACTCTGAAAGGCAGCCGCTGTTCTGTCCACGTCTGTCCCGCATTGGGACCGTTGGAGCGCTCACGTGTGGCGTCCTGGCTCCGGACGCACGAGCGCTCGAGTGCTGCAGTTTAAAGGGCACGTCCTGTAGCACATGGACCTTCGTTAACAACTTTTCTTTTAGTTTATTTAGGTTTATTTTGAGTTGTGGGGTGAGTTTGTCTTGATTTTGTGTCCCTTATTTTTGACTTTGCATGCTTTTTGCATGGCTTTTTCCTATTTTTGTTTGCTTTATTTGCATGGCTTGCTGTTTGAAACAAATCATGCAATAAAAGAAAACAGTTACATTACTATTTGTTTCTTTTTGTCCTTGTGTCCTGATTTGCCACCATTTTAAAAATACCTTTTAAAACAATTTTTCTATTAAAGGCCTATTTGCTGTACTTAAATTATAATTGTCAAAATAAACTTGTGACCTGTTTTGTAAGTACAGTCTGCCTTTAAGTATACAACATATTTGGTTGGTTTCTAGACCACCTGGCGTAGCTGGAGCTGTTAAATCTTCCCTTCTCTACACCCTCACGTCACATTGATATTAGGGCTTAACATTTTTAATCGAGTTAATTACAGCTTTAAAATTGATTAATCGTAATTAATGGCATTTCAAACTCTCTGCAGAATTATGCCATATTGTTCTGTAAATGGTTGTTTGAATGGAACGATATAACATAATTGTGTACTTATGTACTGTATTTGTTTATTATAACAATAAATCCACATACAATGGCAATAACATTATTAACATTCTGTCTTTCTGTAGTAGACAGTATTTTTTCAGCTTGACATATTCCGCTTCAGCAAAAGCCTCCTCTTTCTTCTTTTTCTCAGTCTCATAAAGGCTGTGGAAAAATTAGGTGCCCCAGCTTTAATTTAGCTAGTTAGTTGCGAAGCGGGAGGAGACACGGACACTTCCTGGGGCTCCATAGTGCAGCTTCAGCACTGTATTTATTGTGCGTATGGTCTTGGATATGATCCAGCGGCGCCGTTCGTTGTGTTGTTGTTAGCGGCTCGCTGCAGCTGGAGGTGGGAACCGCTGTAAAGACCCCGGGTCACGCGTGTATTCTTTATAAACTTGAAATCCCAGAGGGCCTACCTGCTCTGTCGCTATCACACGCATGTGTCCGCGGCATTGTGAGTGATGTTATAGGATGCATAGACAGGTCATTCAGTACAAGCATTAAATGCGTTAATTTTTTAACACAATTCATGAAAAATATTTATTAACGTGCGTTAACGTGATAATTTTGACAGCCCTAATTGATATATCTACTAAGGTAGATATTTTGTATATTTAGAGCAAGCATGTCCGATCTGAGGCCCTGGGGCCAAATGTGGCCCTCTATATCCTGTTATGTGGCTCTGCCGCAAACACACAGTAGTCTTTGGGATGAGTGAAGCTCATGACCTCTGGAATCCAGTTGTTAACTTTATTTGTATAAGCTGACAATTGTTTTTAACTGTGTCCCAAAACCTGATGTCTGACGCTAATGTAGATGTGGTGAGATGGTAAACTTGTTCATCAAATGTTATTCTACATGAACTGATTGCACCTCACTTTAGAGCTTAGAGCAGCCCGATCGGGTCATAGCTGCTCTACTATGCAGGTTGTCGGGCTCTTTCAAAAAAGTTTGAACACCTCTGATTTTTACAAATTAAGGGGTGTGGCTTCCAGAACATGAAACTATTTGCAGCTTTGCATTTCCAGGAAAACCAAAGCTGTCAACGTGCTTTCCCAAGAGAAGTGCTGTGTCAGCTGTTGTGGACTTTCACTCTGTGTCTTTGTGAAAACATGTGAAGGTTAAAGGTCATGACAGTCCTTTGTCCTGCGTCCTGATGGATGGACAACTGTTCACCTCTTATACAGGACTTTACACGACCTCTGTCTACTCCGAGGCTATAGATCCAGGACTGTCATCAGTAGGGGTGGGAACCTAAGGGTACCTCACGATACGATACGCGATACAAAGCTCACGATAACGATTGTATCACAATAACGAATATATCCCGATAACGATTATATCACGATATGACGATTATTGATATATTGGTCAGCAATATACCATATGCCAATATATGTCATACATAAAATAGAAAAATGTTAAGTGAAAAAATACACTTTATTTCATGATAAATGGAATGGAGATGTGTAATGTAGCCATATATTAAGTATTGATACTAATTTAATAAAAAGAAAAAAAATCGATACTTGGCAAATGCATATTGATAATTGATCGAGGGAGAAAGTATCGCGATACATCGAAAATGTATATATCGTCACACTCCTAATCATCAGAGTGTTGTAATGAACACATTGTAAAGCTCTAATACAGTACAGGGTTCTGTCAAAAACAGTACAATATTTCTTTACTGCTTGCGGATACAAGCGGTCCACATGAGTTTCTGCAGAGTGGAGCTCCCCTAGAGATAGGGTGAGGTGCTACTTTACGGGCCGCTGCTGGTTTGGTCGCATCCCCAGTTAAAACGCTGCTCTCTCTACCCTCCGCTCCCCGCATATTCTGCCATCCATATGGTTCTCTAACCTCCGCTGCTGCCGGCGCCGCCTCTCCTGCTGGATCACGCTGCCTGCCCGCCTCCCTCGCTGCTCTGCGGCGGCTCCCAGCCTGCACCGGGTCTCATCTACGGCTCAGCTCGTTCAGACTACGACACATATGTAACCTCTGCTCACGTGAGCTGACCAGCATACGCTGGTGTTCCGATCAGTTTGTTCATATGAATCGCATTTTAGTTACATTGTACTGGGTCCGTGATTGTCCCATGCCAGTTCAAGCTTCAGGGTCTGGTTCTGCTTTGATCAGCTCTGATCTGTTTGTTAGTACTTGATGGCGCTCTGCTCCATGAAGTACATCCAGGCTCCGTGTTACGGCTGTTCATGCTTCCTCTGTGAAACAGTTCAAACTCCAGCCGTGCTTGGTGGCATGCAAAATGCATTTTTTGGGTCTCCCTTAATCAGGAGTCTCTTCCTAGGACCCGAATTGTTCGTATTGAGGCTAAGGTCTCTGAGGCTTATTGTAATATTCAGTTGTGAAGATGAATCTGCGACTTTGGTGCATCACTGATTTGGGTGCTTCCAAAAAGTGGAGAACGTGCGTTTTATTTTATTGGTTCTATTATGTGTATATTAGGGTTAGGGTTAGGGTTAGGGGGAACCCTTTGCTTTAGTTCCCTTTTCTACTCCTCACTTTTGTGGTTTTTTGAGCTCTTTTACTGCTATGTCTGCAATTACAGCCAGACGAGGTATTGCCACCTTCTCCCATCATGCTGCTATTGTTTACATGCGACAGTGGCTCAGTCTGTAGAGCATTGGTCTTTGGGCCCAAAGATCGTGGGTTCGAGCCCACCACGAGACCTTCTCCACCGATTCCCACTGATGTCTGCTGTCGCTGAGTAAGACACTTAACTCACTTAGCCTATAACGAGCGCGGAAGTAATGTTCGCTGCTTGCCTTGATGTGTATGTGTATGACTCAAATTGAAATTTCCCCATTGTGGGGCGAATAAAGGACCTTCTTTCTTCTTCATACGCCAGAGGAGGCGTGGTCTCGGACAGTGGTTCTCAAACTTTTTACACCAAGTACCACCTCAGAAAATACTTGCCTCTCCAAGTACCACCACAAATGACCAATACTATACAGTAGCGTAGTAAGCCTAAGTATTCATCAAAAACAAGGCAGGGGTTTCATTCCTAAAGAAGTATATTTAATATTGTCAGCCATTGTAAAATTTTACACCGTTTCAAGAGTAAGACTTAAATATAGGGGGGAAAAAACTAAAAACTGCACTTAAATAAAGATTTAATTAAAATGTTCAATTCATTACGAACTGCAAAGCCTTGACTCACTGTGAATGATATTCTGGAGTGGTATCTTTGTCCACAGAAGGTTTGGACACTGGTGCACTTTAGTTTCTAAGGCTTGCTCTGCTGCCCTCTTACATCTGCCATTTACTCAGAGACATGTTCATATGGTTTGGATCAAATGATCTTTTGTTGCTCTATGTTCCTTTTGCACAGAACTGGGAAAAAAAGCTTTTGTAAATGCTGCTCCTTCTGCATGGAACGTGTTGCAAAACGACTGGAAATTATCTGAACTTATTTCATGGAATGCTTTTAGATCCAGATTGAGAGACTGAGACATTCTCATCATATAATCTGTAATTTTATGAAATTGTATGTGACTGTTTTTATAATCTGTAATTGTATGTAACTTTTGTCCAGGACTCCCTTGAAAAAGATGTTCTTGATCTCAATGGGACATTCCTGGTTAAATAAAGGTTAAAAAAAATAGAAAAAATAAAATAAAATCAAAAGAAGAATAAAAAAAAGAGTGTAATTATATATATATATATATATATATATATATATATATATATTTTTTTTTTTTCTTTTTTAATTTATTTGAATGATTCTTAGAGTGCCACTAGTACGCGTACTTCACTTCTCTGGTCACTGGTCTAGGAGAACGAACGTCACGCAAAGTTTCTATTTAGCACTTTTAATGGCCTGAATTCATACCATATAGACTGTAAATATTCAAACACAAGCTGAATCAATGAGCTCAATTTTTCAATTAATTTACGGGTTTTAATACTTTTAATACAATTTAGAGATAATACAGTCTACAAAAGAAAACGTTAATGCCGTTTTATGTGGCTTTATTGTTAGAATAAACAAATACTGTACATATGTACACTATGTTGTCATTTTTCCATTTAAACAACCATTTACAGAAAAATATGGCATAATTTTGCTGTTAGTTTGAAATGTGATTAATTTCAATTAATTAATTTTTAAGCTGTAATTAACTTGAGTAGCAATTTTAATTTTTAGTGTATATATATGTATATAATTTTGAGCTCACTAAAGTTCAGTTCTCACTGTTGCTTTCCGTAGTATAATTAAACAGATGAATAGTTGAATAAATTATATACAAATAAAGTTGCCTTCACTAGTCATTTGGACTATTCCGTTTAAAGGGACTGTGTAAAACAGGTTGTCCAAACTCAGGCCGAGGGGCCAACTGCGGCCCTCCGTGTCATTTTATGTGGCCCTATGCCTGC